AGAGAGAGAGAGATGGTTTTTGAATGATATATTAAAAAAATTCAAGGCCGCTTCCTTTTCTGCTGAGCTGGAAAACCTAAATGTAGAGACCTTAATTATAATTGGATTCTTTGTGCACGTTGTGCAAGCTCTCTAACAAAAACTGCCCTTTTTGCCTTGAAGACTGCTTGCAATGTTGCAACTGATTTTGATGAAGGAAATGACTTTTCCACCATCACTAGGCTTTAGCTTACTGATAGATATATATCATTTTGTGTGAGGGAGATCAAAAGCCCAAACAAGCTGACCTAGCCCTTTCTCTTTTCAAACGGGTTTGACACCCACGGATGGTACTCCTAAATACCTAGATTCTTGCATGGATGAAATTAATTGAATTTATTACATAATTTTCAATCAAATAAACCTTGTTGGCCACATTATGTTTTAGCTAGCATTATCGGTCATATTTTATTTTTTATTGATTGTGTTATGCTAATTTAATCTGCAATTCTGACTGTAGCAAACATTTCCAGGTGTTATATTTCCAGGATTTCATGCCTTGTTCATTCCCCCCATCGACCTTGAATGCATTGACTTGCATAAATTGGCAGAAATACGGTTTGGCTGTTAAAGCCACTAGTTTAGATGGCAATGGCGACGCTGTGTTAGAATGGGAGGATCTACCATATTTTATGCACATTTATCTTGTGGTGCATAATTACCAGAAAGAATATCCAAATCACATTGTGTGCAACTGTTTTTAGGATGTTGGTTAACCTATTTACCGATTTCCTTCTTCCTGCATTCCTTGACGTTATATTACAGTCTTCATTCCACAGACACGAGTGAACAACCAGGGGAGCCTTGTTAAGAAAGCAATTCAGCTTGCACTGGATGACTTGAAGGCGAAATATACAGGCTTTTTTCTTAGCAAGCATGCGCTCAGGGTAAACCTTGATGCATCTCTTGGCTGTTTCATGATGTTCGCAGTTGCAATTGTGACACAAAAGGATCACAACTTTAAGAAAAAAAAGAAGAGGCGGCAGGATGACACCTCATTCTTTCAGAACCTCCAATAATAAATACCCCATCTATTGGCAATGTGATTGATTTTCCTGTTTGTTAGACTTTCTTTTTTTGCCGTGATACTGTTTAATTTTCCTAAAAAAATGGAACATTTACATTTCCCGTGATTGTGTGAAAGATTTAATGTGTAGCTGATTCGTAATGCTCAAGAACATCTCCAAACTCCAAAGCTTCTCCACAAATTTGTGTTTAATTGTGAGAAGCCAATTCTATAATGAATTTTAATTAATGTTGTATGATTGTATTAAACATAAACTCCTAATATCCAGAGAAGTCTCACTGTTGTTTAGATATGCACAATAAATTTGATTTCCTATATTGGACATAATAATGAATGACCTTCCCAACAAGAAAGGAGTCACAAAGAAGTGGTAGACCAATGACCCCATGGACTTAGCACAAATATGCCCGCCTAAAACAACCACTTATGTTTTAAGATAACTCCTTCGAAATTTGTTTTATAACTGAAAATCACTGTCAAACATGGCAAAGTCAGGAATGCACTCTAAAGCATTTTAAAAACCTCTGATATAAGCTGAAAGAAAATCTGAAAAATAATTTACCGGCATAGCTCACTACAGCTGTTGGTGAAAAAGAACCCCAAAAATTGATGAAAATGTTTACAATAGAACCTTCTTGGGAAAATAAAACATTAAAAAGACTAATGTTTAATTTTTGTGTTTAACCATTGGTATTCACTGTTATTATTTCTGCTATTACAAATTAAGTCTTTACTTTTATATTATTCTCTCTTGAACATAGTTTTCCACTATCTGCACATGCGTGCGATGCCTTTCACTAGTGTGTGTTTGAGCATGTGTTCTCCGTTGCGTGCTTGCATATGTGCATGGGCATGTGCATGTGTGGGTTCATTTCACACATAATTATAGGTATTTCTCTGAATTGGTTGTCATGAGCATTTCAGATACGAAACTATGTGCCCGACCTATCAAAGGCAATTGCAGGTCTCATATTGTCATCCAACGATGAGGATTTCATTGGGGACTGTGCCTCACTACTTGGAATGATCCCCTCAGAGGCTGGAGAGCAAGGGAGGGTTGAGTCGTGTATAAGTGAAAAGATCTTGGGGGTCATAGAGATTAATGATTTGAAGTCAAAAAAGGGTGAAGGGGCTCGCCAAGATCTCTTTGAACAAGAAAAGAACCTTGAAGGTGAGGAAAGAGATGAAGATGAAGATGAAGATGCAGATGATGAAGGTGGCATGTTGGATTGGGGTGGTGAGTTTTAACACACTAAGAATTGGTTTCAAGTTTTTCCGGGAGGACAAATTCTTTTGTAGATCTGAATTAGAAATTATTTCTTACTGCTCATATAGATGTTCATTGATTAATCAGTTTCCCGTTTCCTATGTCAGTGGTTTATTTCTAAATAGTTTCAAAGTACATCTGTGTGTTTTCTTTTTCCACCAAAGTACTGTGGAATTTCAGTAAAACATTCTCTCAAATTGCAGACTATTAATTGGACCCTTGAGTGAAACCATCATCCAATTAGAGATTTTAAAACATGCTGCCTGCCACTCACAAATGTGATAACTTTTGGTTCATGTCAACTATCTTTTGAGTACATCCGTAGGTGCTTAAAGAAAGTTAGTTCCAATTGCTGGAATTAATAACGTACCCTGTAAATAACATAAACCGTGTGCTGGAAACAAATCGTTGTAGTGGAAAAAGAAAAACGAAACTGAAAACTGAGAAAAAGGAAGTGTATGGTGCGATAGCAAACTCAATTTTGATATATATTCTAGAATGATGAGTATGTTTGTCATTTCATAAATATTGACAATGCCCAAATACTACAAATGTGAGATGCAGAATCAGTCAGTCTCCGATCATATTGCTTGATCATACAGGAGCACTAGGCAATAATATCTCCTCCATGCAACTAATGTTGGAACGTGACGTGTTATACTGGATTCTACATCAATCGTGATAGCATAAAATTTAAATTCAATGGCAAGAAATATTCAGTGAGTTAAATATCGACGTACATAATGGATGGGTCAATCAGCTCAGTACAAACTATTCAAAATTTTGAATGGACACTGGTAAACGTTGCATGGTCAAGATTTTGGCATGGTCAAGATTTTAAATGATGTCAACTAGAAACCATGTTCCTTTGACATGGGGCCAATTCTTCTAATTCCCCCCATCTATTTGAAGCATCCTGTGTTTCTATACTTGGGGATTATTGTTTCCTCTTTTACACAAGGAAAAAGTTTATATAAGGTTGCGACCTTATACTGTAGATGTAGAAATAAGGAGCACTTCAAAAATTCAGTAGAAAAGAGTATTCTAAATATGAAAAACCTTCCAATTAATAATCTCGATCTTGAAATGTATAGATATGAAGAAGACAAGAATTTCAAGTTTGAAAAAAATTGCATTTTATAACAAGCTATCTGGATTGTCTATTTTTAAGATTTTCAAGTGTTTATAGATCTGCTCGATTTGTAATATTTTTGGAATTTTCAATTTCATAATTAGGTTCAACATGGATTTTTAAGCCATCATAACATTTCCTATAGGAACTACATCTTCCGGCAAAATTTAGAGGTGTGCCTTATTTGTGCAGTATAAGTTGGGCACCTTACACAAACCTCACCTTTTACATAATATCCTCAGATATTTTACTGAAGAGAAGTGCTTTTACCAACAGATAAATTAATGGCGCAACAGTCCGTATCTACACCAACTCCTACAAAGGAACAAAACAAATTGCTTGTAAGAATGGAAGCTTATGTGACAATTACGTTGCTCATGTCTATATAACAGTAGTATTTGTATTTTAACTTTGGAAAAGAAGCTGGTGAATTTGACCTGCCAGTAGGTACATGCAAATTACAGTATGTTGGCTTTCTCCGAAGAGACAAATATTGTTTACATTTATTGCTTGTAAAGAGCTGTAAATCTTTATTTTGTTGGAGGTATACGCTGCAAACAGAAGAAACATTACAACTACACAAAAACAAGAGTCTAAATCTCATAATAACAGTTGGATCAACAATTAATTTTGGGACGTGACAGCAGGGTTCAAAATTGAAAGGTCTTGATGATAAGATAATCTATTGCCTTTCAACAGCCTATGAATTTTCTACGACTTTGCTATCATTTGCCTTCTCAAACATGAATTACACAAGTCTTTTTTTTATTTTGGGTAATGCAGCAGGGATGATGAGCCCCTACCAGTTTTTTAAATCATTAGTAGTTTTTTAATGCATTAGGTAAGAATGGAAGCCTAGACTTTAGCTGAGGCAATAATAATACTATTGTCACGGCTCCAACCCGTTATAAAAAAAAGCTAAGTAAACAAGTGCTTTGGAACAAATTGCAAACAAGAAATGAAACCTGCTAAATTTATGAACATGGTAACCGTTGAATGTAACTTCAATTGAACTTATTGATATTGGAATATTATCTACAGGGCGTAGTTTGTATAATAAGGTTGCAACTTTAAACAATCAAAATAAGGAGCACATCTAAATTTTATCATAACATATAATTTTAGTGTCAACAAATTGTTAGGATGGCTTGAGAGCCTATTTTCATCTCTAATTATAAATTTTTTAAACTCCAAAAATGACTCAAATCAAGAAGATCTATAAACACATGAAAATATTGAAAATGCACAGTCTAGATAATGTGTAGCAAGATGTATTATTTTTCGCATTCAAAATCCTTCTCTTTTTCATATCCATAGGTCTTGATGTCGTGTTGATCAATTAGAGCACCAAAACAACTTTTTTCAATGGATTTATGAAGTGCACTTTAATTATACCATTTAAAGTTGCAACCTTATGTAAACGTTTTTTCTTTTTCTTTTTTTTTTTTGAACGATAACTTTTTATTATCTATATGATAGAGAATTCCATAAAAAGTACCAAATCGTTGGTTTGGGAAGTACAATAATCTGAGTGATGGCCAACCAAAACGTTCTTGCAAAAACGGGGAGCCCCTCTAGTTTCACTCTGTCTACATTCTAAGAGAGAAGATGAACTAGATAACCATGGGCGTTGATGTGTTGCTTCTCTAAATTTGCGGTCTTGAAATTTATGAAGATTCTTCTTAGCATGGCTGAAGAGTAGCGTGTTTGTGGTGTTTGTTGAGAAATTGGGATACACAAAAATGACTTGGGCCTTGACAGTAGTATTGTTGAGCCCCATGGTGAGGTCTAACTCCATTCTCATAAAAAGGCCTAAATCCCCACTTACTTACCACTTTTGAGAAAGAGGCTAGGGTCTTGGAGGCAACACCCCACGTCTTACTCACTATCTAACCACTGATACTACTCCACTTATGTCTTCAAAAAGCTAACTTATAATCTATTTGAAAAAACGGGTAGGGGCCTACTTTCAAGAAACTAACTTCTAATCTATTTGAAAAAATGGGTAGGGTCTGCCTTCCCCACTAAATAATTTAAAAAACAAAAAACAAAAAAAATTGGGATAGGCATAAGGGATATCTTTTCCAGCAGTATAGAGAAGATTTGCCTTGATACGTATAGGGGATTTCCTACCTACTAATACGAAGACCTTAATAGTCTAAATTATAAAAGAGGAGATGGAAATACTGACCGCAATCGTATTCATTGTTGATATGTCAAGACTATGCGGTCTTGAGGAGAGAGAGAGATAACAAGGACATTTTCGCGCTTTTCGAAACTAAAAAGGAGAGAGGACTATTCTCCAGTGTAGTCGTCAAGTGTTTGGCTTCCTTCGAAGCATGATTAGAATAAGTGTCAAACACATACATATAATAGAGATGGATAGTACAAGCTTTTGAACAAAACAAACAACACCTTGATAAAGGGCTTTTTCTTTTTTTTTTAATTTCGAGTAATATAGTCGCCGGGTTCCAGCAGGCACCCTGTTAATTATATCCATCCTCAGAGGAGTGAAATAGCTGTTAAAATAGGCTAATAACAACTGTTTTAAGAGAAGAGAATCAATTGGTGATGTATCGATAATGGCTTGCCTATATGTGAACGGATATTTTATCTTCTCTTAAAGAGCTCCGAGATCTCTAGCATTCTTTTCTCTAATTCTTCTTACTTCACTCTCTATTTTGCTACTATTTCTGCCTTTGCTTTCCAGCTCTCTCCTACCCTGCCTTTTCTTCTTGCTTCGTTGCTGCTATTGATAGCGATTTAGTTTGCTATTGATAGCGGACAATTACTTGAGGCTTGTCTTTATTAATTATGCGATAATGGGGTGAGAGATATTTGATGATATTTTTAATAGTAACCATTTGTTCTCATTTGGTCGAACTTAGGGAATGGACACATGTTCCTAAAAAGAATATTTGGTTACTACCCTTCTAGGTTATACGAAAGTTATCATTCAAAGGTTACTTGAAAGTTATTTTCGCGTGTGTATGTGCGCACGTGTTTATATATATATAGTAATGATCTTAGGAGATCTTTCCACATTCGTGTGTCGGATCCCAAAAGATCACCATTAAATTTGGTATAGAACTCTAAAAAAGTTATGACATGTGAGACTTGACTTTTTTAGATATTTGTGTTAAATTTGATAGTAATCCTTTAGAGTCTTACATATATGGGTGCGGGAGGGTCTCATAGGATCATTACTTTTTTTTATATATATATATCCTATATATATAGGTGTGGGAGGGTCGCATAGGATCATTACTTTTATTTATATATATATATATAATTATGGATATGTACTTATGGAGTTATATATAGAATTTAAATAGTTTAAGCATGGGGATGTGGACCTTATGGAAATATACAAGTTTGTGTATATGGATTGAGCTATAGAGGGATGGTCTACCAAAGCCATCGGCCATATTTATGTGCTAGATATTCGCATGAGCCCAATCCTTAGTCTTAGTCTTGAGGGTGTGTGATTGGCAGGCCTATGCTATAGGTATTCCCCCAAAACTCAATAATTTGTGTGGTCTAGGTCGTTTTGAGAGCATATTGGGTATAAAAACAAGAAGAGTATGAAACCCATTCAAACAATGTGATAAAGTAAAATGCAAGGGCATCTCTTGAAATTGTATTGCACACTGATGGGGCTCTGAAAAAACATTTTCCTATTCTTGGGATAGAAATAGAAAGGACGAAGGTTTGAGTAAAAAAGAATTGGGGAACAAAATATAATTTAAGGAAGAAAAGCTTGGAAGAATTTGGAAACATTAAGAGAGTTTAAATTTAGTGGGGAAGATTGAGAGAGAAGTTTCTGCATAGATAATCCCACAAAAGAAAAGCCCCATGCTTCTGTAGTAAAAATCTAAGAAAATGGGCAATCCACTGTGGTCATGGGAAAGTAGGTCTCATTCATGTAGTGAATTTATTTTTTAGGGCTTGCTT